GAGGAAAGTAATGTAGCAAAACAATTCCCATCATAGAGATCCATAACTTAGAGAAGAAGTTTGGGTTAAGCTGTTAGTATTGTATAGAAGGTCCTAAGTAATTTCTGTGATGTTTTTTCCATAGAGGTCAGCCTAGGACATGCTCAGTTGTATTGTATTTGTGATTATGTTGAGTAGGACCCCATGAGTGATGCGGTAGTCCAGGCATGGCACTCTGGCAAAGACCAACAGACCTGTATACAGTATTCTGCAAAGAAATAAAGACTGACCAGTGACAGCAACTTCTTATCTTTACTTAGAGCAGACTTTGGTTAATCTTTATAGAATGGATGCACTAAGCTAGGGTGAATTGAAGATTTTAATCTTGTAGAGGACAAGAAGTTGTAGTGATATGTACAAGCAGACACAAATGGTAATGCCACAAAATAAGGAAAAAGATCACACTAAATGCTTCCTACAAAGTCCACTCGGTGCTCCTGAGTGGACTTTCAGCGGTATTTTGCCATGCATACCAAGGTGAAGGCAATGTGTCCTGAGGGGTGTTAAGGGTAGAGTAAAAGTAACTTAATCTCAGAGGGGCTGTCACTTCATGAACATTATCAATATTTTCATTAGTATCAATTGCATTGAAATAGAACAAAAGGTTCCCACATATTACAGTTTGTATAATTGAAAAAGGGAATAATAATTGCAATATTGGATAGATTGCTTGTGATTTTTTGTATTGTGCAATATCTGTGAATTTATATGGAATTAAGAGTACTTCATATGATTTTAAAATTGTCCATCATCCATTATCCCTTTTAAGAAAAAAAAATTGAGGTAAAGTTTTAAAGAGTAATATGATATTAATAACAATTATTATATATGTAAATCAGTTGTCTAAAAGAAAAAGATATCTAACAAAATTGTAATGAATCAGTGGTCAAAAAAATATTTTTTGGAAAGGTATTGAATATATGAGATATCACATAGTTGCATTTAGTCTTTGTTTTAATTATGACGTAATCTTTTTCTCAGATATTGAAGATGGAGATTGGGTCTTCAAAAATCTACCAGGATTTACCCAGTGTCATTTGTGAGCGTTCTTCATCTTTGATAGATCTTCCAGCACAAAAGAATGCTGACGATCTTTCCAAGAAAAGGGAATTTAAAGACTTTGTACAGTCACTCCTCCCAGAAGGTGACAAGGACGAGATTGGTACACAGGTAAGAGTGGCATTTCAATATTGTTTGATGTTCTCTAGAAAATTCTGTATTTGTCATCCTATATTTTGAGTGTATCTGATAAGTAAAAATGGGTTGTCTCACAGGATGAGGTATCCAGATGGAAAATTGGCCTCCTTAATATTTGTTATTAGTTGTCAAAGTATTGTTTCTCTTTTATATCATATACTTTATTTTGTAGGGTTGTGCTTTTCAGATTGTATGTGTTTTTTTTTTATGTAAAATGATCCTCTTCAAAATATATATATATATATATATATATATATATATATAATATATATATATATATATATATATATATATATATATATATATATATATATTTTTTTTTTTTTTTTTTTTTTTTTTTTTCTTTTTTTTTTTTTTCTTTTTTTTTTTTTTTTTTGCAAAAAGAAGAAAGAAAAAGAAAAATATCATGTATCCCTAATACTGCTTATTTAACTTTTCAGCAGTTTTTTTACCATTTTTGATATTTATTGTTTATGCTGTAAGAATTGATAAGGCTTACTTTTTTAATGTTAGCATTATTTTTACTTGTTAGCATTATTTTTACTTGTTTTAATAGCTAGTTACTGAAGTGTTGTTTATTTATATAGATCATTGATGGTAGAATTACTGTCTAGTTAATTTTAATAGTTTACATAATTTTACTTCTTTTCCCTTGTATGGGAATATTTGCTCAGAGTATCCTGGTGGTCTTCTTCCACGTGAATAAAAAATAAAGTTTTTTTTTTCTTATTCTTTATCTTTTCCTTCCTTTCTCACTGGAGTTTCTCTACTGAATATGAAGTTTACAACACCTCTGTTTGTTCTGTCAGTTGATTATTTTTCCATTCTATGTCATGAAAAACCTCCTGGTGTTTGTTAAGTAAATTCACAATGTGCCCTTTAATTTAGCTTTAGGTATAATAAAAATGTATATATTTTTTCTTTTTTTCAGTTAAGAAAAGGGTTTTTACTGACACAGAAGAGGCAGAGAAAAATTGCTCAGCAAGGAAAGAAAAAAGACAGTCGACCTGATGGCATACAACACCGTGGAAAGAAACGTTTGTCTGGTCGAGAAAAAAGAGAATTGGGCCTACACAAGGTAAACAAGAACAATAAGACTTTTGAAATGTTTTTGCCCATTAATGATATGTGGAGAAGCTATTCTAAAGATCTCCTTGGGATTGAACATTATATTAAGAGTGGATGGAAAGGAGGTTATAATGACAGTAGGACAGAAACTATACAAAACAAAATAAGAAGAATAGAGTATTTTGGCTGCTTGGTTCGAGTAACCAAGTCACGTTGCTCAGAGTTTGTAGGCACCACAGGGATTATCATTAAGGAAACAAAGAATACTTTTGTAATGATCTGTCCAGATGACAGAGTGAAAACTATCCCAAAGCTGCATAGTGAGTTTAGCTTTGTAGTACAAGATATTGGCTTTTCAATATCAGGGAACCATCTTCATCAAAGATCAGTGGAAAGGGCAAAGAATAACTTCAAGAAATTACAACTATGGTTGTAATCATTAATCATTTTTAGTGTTGCTTTATCAGATCATTATATATTGTCAAAAAACTTTTGTGGTATTTCTGGAATAAAGCTTGAAATATCAACTGTGTTTTCTTTCTTGGAAGTAAAATCAGGAGATATCTTGTGTTGGAATGAAGTGGTGAGACTTGTTATTGATATGTTGTATTAAAATTCATATGCTTTTAATATGTTTATTTACAAAAAAGTATACAGTGATTTGTATTGAGCACATTTGCTCATGAAATATTACAGAAATATATGGAAAAATGAAATAAAGTAGTTGTTATCCCTTCAACATCAATTTAAGTTTATTGCTAATTGTGTAATATATGATAACATATATATACCTGTCTACTTATAGACATTGCTTATCACATCACATGCAAAGTTCATAGTAATATTTCTGTATGGTGTAGCTATATATGTATAATGAACTAAGACTTTAAAAACAGATCAGTGGAAGCAAGTGCCAAAGTTCTATTTACTTTTGGAGGAATACGAAGGGCATTGGAAAATGATGTAGCTGAATCTAATTCTTGTTGAGATTTAATTTTCCAAATTGGAACACTGGGTGGACGCAGATATCTGTATCTTGAGTAGGGCACTCCCACTAACCACATGGAACCTCCCCAAGGCTGTGGGATTTCATAACAGCCATGATGATGGGACTGAGTGGAATAGGGCCAAGCACCAATACACTCTGCCAAAGTAGGCCATTCTGGGGAATCATTTGGGTCCTCCATGAAAAAATAGAATACAAAGTGTTTTGATTCATGAGCGCTGGGAGGGATTAGAAATCCTGGAGCACAGGGATTCCTGGTGATTGGGATAGCACTCTCAAGACTAGACTTTACTCTACTTTCATACCCTTTCTGAGTAAGTTCTTCTGTCGGTGGGAGATGGACCCGCTCACCACTGTACAATGGTTGGTCTAAAAAGTAGAGTTGGTGTATCTCAGGAACAGTGTTCACTCCAACCCCGTAGTGGTATGAACGACTCAATGAAGGAAAAATGCATTCACGTCCTCGACTCATTACACTGTATAGAAAATTGTCATACAGTAGTGAAACAGAAGAGCTGGCTGGCCATTTTGCTACCATTGACCTTGCCTCTGCCATTGAGAATAAGTAGCCCCAGCCAGGCTGCCTGAAGCCCCGAAGAAATATTGTGGGGTCTGGAAATACATATCGGTGACCTGATGCACTGCCAGACACACACCAAAGTGATGGATCAGTATCCAGTGCGGGTGCAAAGTGCGATAGCGTCTCAAGCCAGTCACGTGAGACCTCCACATCTTCATCAAGGAAAGCAATGTACTGTAAACTAGGAAAGGTAGTTATACCTGTTGACCAAGCTTCCCGGTAGAATTGAAAGAGTCCATGGTTAATAGATGGAACTTCTCTTGGTATGTCTACTACTTTGTACTTTATTTGTAACAACTTTAACAGTGAGATAACTGAAGTGTTAGGACCATCACTGGAAGGATCTCGACCAACTATCACCAACACATTAAACAAAAATATCCCATCATTAGCAAGCAATTTTGATAATGTATTTGAAAGGTACTGTACTCTTCCTCCTGCACAAACAACTATACCAATTTTATGCGTGATGTTGTTTCCAGTTCCTGAAGACATAGGCTTTACTGCTGATGGTGTTTTGTAGTTATGATTTTCACAGAAGGAACCCATTGCTGCTTCATGTTCACAGAGACTGGAATGCAAGTCATGTTTCGAAATCACTGCAGATGAGGCATTATGAATTGAAAGTTCTGTATATGCATGTGCATACAATTCAGCAAAAGAATTATGCAGCCATTTCGAGTTAGGGGCAATAGCTTCAACTATGGTTCGGCCTCCTGCAATAAACATCCACACCCAAAGAGCACGTGGAGGAGCATAGGAAATAAGCAAAGAACCAAGGCTTTGTAGGGTCGAAACAGCTGCTTCTACTCCATATGTGCCAGCACGGTGCACAGTCATCACCACTATACGTCCTGCCTGGACACGGCTTAGCCACCAAACAAGATCCTGAGCATAGGTGAAAACATTCCACGTATTGAAAGTCTTTCTTAACAAGACAGACCCACTCTTCTCATTTACTACCATCATCATGATGCCATCTGCATTGCTTAAATCTTGATTCACATGGGATGCATTATTATTTTGTAAGACTTCTTGACAGTTCTGTATGAAACAGCTTAGGTTGAAAGCAGAACCAAGGGCTGATGACTTGACACTAAGGGAAAACAT